GTCAGAAACAGGCACGCCAGCTGAAGGTTGATCCAACAGCAAGAAGTTTCTAGAAGCTATTCGAATGTTCTGGATGCCGAGATTGTTGGAGAAAATGCAACAAGACACGTCATCGTCTTCTTCCTCCATAGAAACTCAAAAACATGCAGCAAAATCAGAAGCAAAAGCAGAAGCAGAAGCAGAAGCACCACCCTTTTCACCAGTTTCCAAACAGCCCACCACCACCAATAATAATAATATTATTAATATTAATAATAATAATAATATTATTATTAATTCAGAGGACGACAGTAATTCGTTATTCGAGGACAATAATTACTATGTGGGATTCCCGAATTATGAGACGATGATGGAAGAGTTGGAATTGGAGGAGGCGGCCCAGGGTAACTCTCTACTCTGCGGGCGACACGTGTTGCAGAATGATTGGTTTGGGGATGAAGACTTGGGGAGTAGTACTACTTCTTTTTGGAACACTGATGAATTATGGCAAAATTCAAAAGGGTGGTAGGGCCAAGAAAATTAATATTATTGAGATAATTTATTAATATATCTTCATTTAATAATGTGACTAGATTTTTCATTTCTATGTTTTTTGTGTTGTTGATTGTTCTTATGTATTTATTTATCATCAGCGTTTTAAGGAACCACAACTTACAATTTTTGAATTAAAGATACAATAGTGAATGTTTTAATAAAAAGAATTCCAATATTTTGGATAAAAATAATAATATTGAAAATAATGTTAACGAGGAGATCAAAGGTTTAGTCAATTAATGAGAACAAAGTTGGAATTGTGATAACTTCAAAGTTTGAAAAGTAAAGGTGTAGACTAGTGACCTATGGATGAAGAGTTGAAATGTTCCTTTCCTTGGAATTTGTCGATAGAAAAAAATAACAGATTTGATGATTTTGAATCGTAGATCTATAAAAAGAATTATTCACTATAATTATACTAAACGCATATAAACATTGATGTATGTATGTATTTATTATGTGCAAATCAATAATTCAAAATTATTTTATAATACATCAGATGCAACATCTACAAAACACTTATTACGGTTACAATATCATAATCAACTACATCAAATGGAATAATGGATAAGATGCAATTCTCAACCAAAAGGTGAAATAGTGGCTCTAATAAGTGGGCTTATCGACTAGCACCAATTATGCAATGGTTGACATTTCTTAAACAAAATACAACCTTATATTACTCGAGCTGAAAATTAACTAAATATAGAAATGTGATTATGTAATCTTATTCTCATAAAAGCAACAAAAATGTATAAGCGACAAATTAAGTACTCGTGGTTTTGATCAACTTTACATTGATAATGGGGTTTATTTACTATTCATTCCATTATGTTCCACAATAATTATCACTTTTCAAAAATATTATTTTATATTGTCTTATCACTTCACATTTTCAATACTACAATGATAAAAGTTATTTCATTCCATTTTTATGTGTGTTATTTTCTAAAATCAATGAAAAGAGACACATATTTAGAAATGAACGAAGAAGTGATTAATTATTCGCATATTTGAGAATTATAATAATAATTATTATTATTATCATTGTTATTATTATTATTATTATTATTATTATTATTATTAGTAGTAGTAGTATGAGCACAAGGTATTATTGTACTATAAAAGATGATGTTAATTAAGGATGTGATATTTGAGCATCCTAGCATGGTCACATCATTAAAAAGAAATAGTTATCCTAATTCCTATGGGCATGTGAATAAACATGCTATGGTTTTCATGTGAAAGGTGAATATTAACTTTTGAAAGAATATAATATATACCTTCCCTTACATTGAACTTACATCAAATCAATCATTTGATTCTTAAATTCTTTCTTTTCAAAACCATCATATGTCACGCGCAACTAAACATGGATCGGGTGATGCTAGTGGGTTACAATTGTTTTCTTTTTTTTCAAGAATATATTTAGCAATATATATATTTAAATTTTTGGAAGTGTTTTTTGAAGGTTATTTTGGGAAATTTACTTTGAGAAAAATGAGAACTTTAAGCTAATGTATTCTCGGCAATGTTTCGTCTCTTCCCATCTCATTTTTTATTTTTATTTTTTTCCGCAAAATGAATTCGTGTTTGTTAAGTTGTTCGTAAAATTCCAACACAATTTTAAAAGTTTTTCTTTACCTCTAGACATGATTTGATTATTACTGTAAAAAGTGAAAAAAAAAAATACGGAGATGGGGCCATTGGGATAGGTGTTTGCTTGAAAATCAAGGCCGAGGCCCAAAATTGTAATATTAGAATGCCTATTGAAAGTGGAGATGGGCCCATTGGGCCAATAAATCATGCTGGGCTCTTGGAATCAGCCAACAATTATTACAGCCTCGTTTGGTTTATAGGACTACATTATGTACATCCTGCAAATAATTTTTCAGACAAGTTGATATCTGAAAGCTTGACCGCGTGCAATCTCGAGCGATCGATCTTCAAACAAATTTGGTCTCATTGCCCAAAGTAATTGTTTCGTACCAAATAATAGGGCAGTAATTTTCCACACAAGGCCATTTGTGAACTCCCACTATGATGCCCGAGATAAATTTTAGTATGATGGTTCTATCGATTGATCGATCGGTCGAGCTCTCCTCAGATTAAATAAGTACACTATATTTATATAGTAAAATTAAAAAAAAAATGCCCATGATCCGAGAACAAAGATGTACTTTGTTTGGACATGAAAAATAAAATGGTAAAATGCAGAGATGTGTCAGAGGAAATGAAATGTTGGAAGAAATGCCAAATATGTAACCCAAAGAAAATGTGATTAGAGGGGCCAAGTAACATGACATTGTTGAGTAATCATTGAAATTATCCAGCTAGGATTTATTTCAATCACTTTAAAATATATTTGGTTGTTTATTAATTATTACAATACTCTCTATAATCTATATTGTTATACCCCACGTGAGATGCTTTTAATATATATGTAACTTTCTCACATTTTTTGTTACCATAATTAAACACAATTGGTGTTGATTAGGTAAATTATAAATAGAGAGTTCACTCAGTTGTTCGAGATGGAAATGCTATTTAGATTTTTTTCACAAGCTTCACGATCTATTTATGTTAGAATTCGAGAGGATTATGATTTTGGTTTTTCAGCACGTGTGTGAAAAACGTGTGTCTAAAGTTAGGAAAGTTTCTTAAATGCTTTAAATTCTTATTATGTCATTAATTTATTTAATTGTATAAGTTATATGTTAACAAGGAATTTTCTTGACAAAAACTTTCCTTATTACACAATTCATTTTCCTACGTAAGATTGAAACCAACCTAATGGGCTCTAATATTTTGTAGGGCTCTTCTATTCAACCAAGGAAGTATAAATATAGGAGCACCAACGTGTTGTATGGCTGTCCCTTTTGTGTGCGAGAAAAATAATTCTGCTCTTTACGCTGCTGCTCCTGATATTTGATCTTATTCGAGAAGAGAATTATATTCAAAGATTTGCTTCTTTCACGTGAAAAGGAGATTGATTCTTCGGGAGGAGAACTTAGAAGATCTCGGGAGGAGGTCGATCCGCCGACTGAGGGACTCAGCGTTGAAGGAATTTCAACCGTGCGGAACAAGGGACGTGCTGCAAAGTGAAGATTGATAATTCAGCGTAGTATACAAGAACGACGTCGACAAAGAGGGAGTCTTTGTATTTCGATTAAGTTCTATTATTGTATTCGTAAAACTAAAAATTAGTAAATTTCATTTGTGTTTTTTTATTATTGTTTCATTAACTGTTGTCACTCTCTGTAAAACAGTAAAACAGTATCTAAAACTGAATCTGGGATTCATCCGACACAAATATATAATTAATTTGCACGAAATAATTATAACAATTTAGATTATCTGTTTACGACTAGGTTGGAGTACTGGCTTTCTACGTACTCTCTTACTATCTCGAACACGTGGTGTCGAATCCGTACATTCTTGACTTACCACACATGAATTATTTGGTTATTTTCTCGATATTAAATGTTTGTCATAAATAATTTATTTATTTATACTATCCTTGTATTGAATTAGTGACAGTTATTTGCATATCCTGTCATAAAAGTAATTGTCCTTCTTAAATGAATCACCAATAGAGAAGATGACATGCATTAATAGTAAGACTTAGCTTGTATATTGAAGAATTTAAGAGGATAATTTCAATAAATAATAGTAATAAATACATGGGACATGTTTGGATGAATCCACTTTGCAATTTAATTCAAATCCTTAGCGCTCTCAATTTGAATTGTCTTTTTAGTCAATGTGGAATCATTTGACTTTTCATCTCCAAATCATCGCTTCAATCAAAATCTTTTCGTCCCCAAATCGTACCTTCATAATTCCCAATATATTAATATGATTTTGAAAAACAAATCCAATATAATATTAAATTGGTGTGACAAAATTGGAGAAATTTTGTGAAAGTTTATGCAACGAATATATAATTATGGACTAATTACGATCAACCCATAAGATAAGGTTAAATTACGAAAAAAATCCTTCTTGTTTGGCTAATTACAACCACTCCAACCATGTATTGTTTTAAGAAAAAGACACCCCTCAACCCCTCATTCAGTAGGTAAAATTGACACCGTAAAAATGAACGTGTAAGACACTAAATAGTTGAGGTGGGTTGTTGTTGTAATTATCCAAATACGAGGGATAATTTTCGTAATTTAATCCTACCTCAGATAACCGCGAGGCTACCTTTTTATTATTCTCCATATTTATGTGTTCTTTAGGCCGAAATTTTAAATAGGATAAATTACAAACACCCCCTGAGGTATGGTCAATTTACGAAAATATCCCTCTTGTTTGGATAATTACATCTACCCATCAACTATGATTTTTTCTTATACCCCCACCCTTATGTCAAATTCAACATAATAATCTAGATTCTGTGAAATGTGCTCTAGTTTGTACTTGTTTTGTGTAAAAATACAGTTTCTGATGCACCACAATTTGATATATACAAGCCAAAAAACACATATTATGATCATCTTGCTTCAAAATGTAGAGTTCAAATGGGATAAAAGTTAAAACTGGTTCAAATGTGATAATATTCCATATAATCTTGAAGATTCCACTAAATTTGAGGAGTTGAGGGGTGATTGTAATTATCCAAAAAGAAGGGAAATTTTCGTAATTTGACCATAACTCAAGGGGTGACTGTAATTTACCCATTTAAATAAAAAGAAGATAAAATCAACACTAGAAAACAGAAGATAACAAGGAGAGAAATTTCGGGGTATCCTATGTTTATTGTTACCTCTCTCCACCATGTTTCCCGGCGCCTGCCGCCGAAATTCTGTATTCTTGATTTTTCACTTTCACTACTTTTTACTTTTTTACCCCTCCCTCTCTCTCTCTCTCTCACACACACACACACACAATCACACACACAATTCAAAATGTCGATCTCAGTGTTCCTCCTTAGTGAAACAAGTCTTATGTCGTACTCTTCTTCCAATTCCAACCCTTTACTAACTAAAGCAAAAAGCTGATTCCTTTTTTTTTTTCTATTTATTTATTTCCAGATTAAAATCATAAATAAATAAACCTCAATTGAAAAGAAAAAACACACACACACAGACACACACAACAATGGCGGTGGATGTGTGCTCTGAAATTTCAAGCCCAAGAATCTCTTTCTCTCACGACCTCAAAGAACTCGACTTCGTCCCCGTCGAAAAATCCCATCTTTCCCCTTCAGATTTCAATTTCAATTTCGATTTCGATTTAGATTTAGATTTCTTCGCCGCCGGCCAACAAATCTCCTCCGCCGACGAGCTCTTCGCCGACGGAAAAATTCTCCCCGTCCAGATCAAGAAACCCCACCCGATTCCACCACCCCAGAAAAAACCCGAATCCACCCCCGTGAAAAAGACGCTAATCGAGTTCCTGTCAACCACCTCCGACGGCGGCGGCGGCGAAGAAGAAGAAGTGGAGGAGAAACCGTCGACGGCGAAACCATTCTGGCAGTTCAGAAGAAGCAGCAGCGTCAACTGCGAAAACGGCCGGAAGAATAGCTTGCTCAGATCTCTGCATTTTCTCACGCGCAGCAATTCGACGGGCTCTGTTCCTACAAACCCTAACCCTAACCCTAACAATAACAACAAGGCTTCCGCCATTCCTAAAATTGTGATGAAAAAGCAGCAATCTTTGAAGGAGGGATCGACGAATCGAGCAAATTCGTACGGCCCATCTTTTAATCATTACAAGAACCCTAATAATCCTACATTGAGGAAGAGCAACAGTAGCAGCAGATCGTACGGCAATGGTGTTCGAATTACTCCGGTTCTGAATATTCCTCCTACTTTTATTGCTAAAGGTAGCGCCGGTTTATTTGGGATCGGTTCCTTTTTCTGCAGTAAAAAATCCCACAAGACTCATAAGACTAAAAAATGATTCTTGATAAAAAAAATATATTCTTTTCTTTCTGTATATATTTCTTTTTCTTTTTCTTTTTTGTTTTGTATAGTGACAGTTTTGGTTACAATCTTCAATATGTTCTTGTTGTACCTCTTTTGAGTTGTTTGTGCGCAATAACTCTTTCCACTTATGTGAAAGGGGGCAACTATTTTGAATACTAATTTTTGCTTAGTTGAATACTACCTAGTTGAAAACCACAATTGAGTACATATTTATAAGTTTTTTCTTACTTTAAAACCAAAATAAAAAGAAAATTACAAAAACACCCTTTCATACAAAATATCAATTATATCAAATTTTATTAGAAATTACCTATTCAAAAACCAAATAAAAAAAAAAGAAAAAAACCCTTTGTTGTTAAAAAAAAAAACCTCCACCATTTCTTCTCCTCTCCAACCCTGACCGCCGCCGCCGCCGCCGCCGCCGCCGCCGTCGCCGCCGAACGCCACCGTACGTGCTCGTAACTGCCGCGACAACCCAATTAAACCCTATCTTTTTCATCTTCTTAAATCCTCCAAAACATCTCCAAATTCAAAAAATCAAAACCTCACAAAACTTATAAAATGGAGTTATAAGACAATAATATGGTAGTATATGTGGAAAGAGAAGCCATTAAGGTAAGTATCGATGTCTTTTTTGAGCTTCGAAGTCGATTTTGAAGTTTTTTTTTTTGAAACCCGTCGGCAATTTTCGACACATACAGGTCGATTTGAAATCCTACTTTAATGGCAAATAATTGCATATTTGGCTGGCTTTGTATTTTTTTTTTTTTTTTTTTTTTGAATTTTGAAGGTTTCTTTTGTGGATTAGTTGAAAAATTGTTGGTTGGTTTACCTTTAATTCAGGTTGATCTTGTTTTATACAAGGAGATCAAGACAAGAGTTGAATTGGATCCAAATATATGTTTTAAAAGATACTATATTCATCAATGATTGGCAACTATACCTCTTTAGTAATCACTTTCCGAACCACTATGCACAACTATACCATAACTATTTATGTGCTTTTTATTTCCTGCCAATTTTGTTGTTTAAAATTGATAAAATTGGATTTGACAAATTAAATCATTAGTATGTCATGAGAATTCTTTTACAAAGGATTTGTAATTTGTAACTAGATATATACATGTTGCAGCTATATATATGCACACTGGGGGAATCGAAATCATTTCATGAGAGGAGTAAATTTGACAAGTCATGTGCGACAAACTCGACCTAAAAAATATTGACAAAATGGTTTGAACTTGAGTCGCTATTTTTTCAAAAACCTACACCATGACATTGACTAAAAGGCCCACTTGTAACGCGAGCAGAAGCAACCCGAATTTGGCACACTCTTCAAGCCCGCACCAATTAGTGCTCAACTCGCAGTAATAGTGAGTTGTGGGTCCTACAAAGTACAACCTCACTCCTCGCGCGCAAGTATAAATACAGCCTTGAGATGCACGAAAAATAAGGGATTTTAGATACATATTCATTTACATATTGCCTCTATTCTCTCTCCATATCATTTTTCCTAACTCCGAAAACACCCTTCCCGACACTCCATTTTGCAGAGTTCTTCGGGCTTTGGGCTTCAGCAAAGGACATTGGGCCACTTCTTTCTGGGCCCACAACATATACTATTTGATAACCCGTTTAGCTACATAATTTGCTAAACCAGTTCTTTTGTCCTTCCTTAATTGTACTTGAATATAATTATAGTCAATTGTAAAATATTTTTCGATAATAATTCCTTCAAACAAAATTAGTGTTGGAGATTGGGCCGTGATTTTCCCATTACAGGCCCGTGGTCAAATTATTTATATGGCTACATTCGGCTTAATAAAAGCCCAAAAACAACAAAATTTTATTTTTCTAAGCCCAATCCATATAAACATACCTAGCTAGCATTTATGACATGGCACGAGGCACCGATCTACTAATTAATAATTACCGTTAATCTGCATCGATTTGCTTAATAATATCAATAAAACAATTCTCAGTTCAATTCAATTTGGTTGACCTAATGATGATTTATTAACATTAAACAAATTAGCACCAGCAAATTTTGTTCATAAGTAGCAATAACAATAACTAATAAAAATTGCAGCAACTCTAATGGCAGGCTGAATTCTGAGACAGAGATACAAATTGCTGCAAGCTTAATTTTCCAGCTAGATGGGGAAAAAAAAACACTTTCGAATGGAATGCAAAACAACAAAAAAACGAGACCGGTAGAAAAACGACCAGGGTATTTAGTTTACAAAAAAAAAAAACCAGACCCGTAGAAAAGCTACGAATGTATTAGTTTACCACACAGGGTTAGCAAATTTTGTAAAGCAACACAGCACATAAACGAGCAGAGAAATCGAACACTAACTATTGCTGTTAAATTAGCAACAAGAATAATGAACCTGGATATCGTAATTAGCATAGTGTTCGATTCTGAACCAACACAACCTTTTCGACTATGTTAAACTTTATTTCCTTGAACAAAAAAACATATTTATGAACAATTGCAGTATCAAGGGAAGACAAAAAAAACAAAAATTAGCATTTTCCGAAAGCAACTACATTTTTAAGCCTCTTCTTGTAAACCATATTTTACCAGAAGGGATTTCGATTTTTTCCGACCATTCGACAATGCTGGTTTTAATATGCTCCATTATATGTATAGTCCCATCATCCTTCACGATTCTACCATTTCGAGCGAGGAGAAACAAGGTTGTTTTCGACTCTATTCGCTACTGCAAAATAAACAATCAATTCAACAGTCAGCTCCAGAAGAAATTAATTTAAAAAAAAGGATTAAATATAAAGAAAAAAGAAATAGGGAAGAATTTACCTATTTCTTGGTTATGGAGCTGATTCTTGAACTTTATACATATCAGGTGTAACTTCTGTAAGCCATAATCCTGGAAATAGGGTCTGCAATATATATTTAAAAATAAATTTAAATGAGAAGTGAAATCAATGGAACAGTGATATATATACACAGATCAAGATCGGATGATTGAAGAAAAAAAAGTAAAAATTGAAATCTGTGGGGAAAAGAGAAAATTGAATGGTGGAATTGGATTTGAATGTACTTACATCCAATTGTCTCTGAACAAACCTGGCCCGCTTTTTGGGCCTGCGCGGCGGCCGGTGACCGACCATGGCGAAGAAATCGTCTTCGATTTCTCTTTTCGATAGGGGTACTGAGAACTTCTCCCTCTCCCTCTTCTCGCCGCTCGCCGCCGCCGCCACGTGGCCTTCAGTCTTCGTCGGCGGTGACTTGTTGGAAGCCGCCGCCGCCACCCGCATCGGGGAGAATCCAGGATTGGGTCTCGGCGCATCCACCCTCAAACCCTTGCCGGCGCCGTCGTTTCCGCCACCGGCGGTGGTGGGACCGCCGGTTTTGCCGGAGCCCGACCCACTCGCCGGCGGCATCTTGCACGCAGCTCGCCTTGTCCTCAAGTTCCACGGACGGGAGGCCTCGCCTTCAGCCGACGCGGACGCCGCCGCAGCAGGCGGCGGGGGCGGCTGAGGAAGAACAACCGGCCGGGAAAAAGCGACCTCGCCCTCCTCGAGGCCGCCGTCCTTAAAAAACGCGTCTTTCATCTTATCCGCCGCCGTCTGGAGATCGAACATCACTTTCTCCCTGGTGGCGGCAATCCCACCGTCGTCGTCGTCGTCTTCATCGCCGAATCTCCGTCCACCTCCGTGCGGCGGCGGCGGCGGCGGCGGGTGAGTAGGCCCCACTTTGGGGGATCCGCTCGCAAACTCGTCCTTGGCCCTCTCCCTCTCCCTATCCCTGGCGGTGCGGCGCTGTTGGATTGGGAGGTGGTTGTGGTGATCGGAAGAACCGGAACTGTTGGGTTCGATGCGGTGCGGCGGCGAGATTTGGTCGCCGGAGTTGACCTTCATGCATCGGAGAAATCGCTGCCTCCCCCACCGCAAATCGCCCGGCATCGTGAAATTGTGCAGCGTCGATCTCTCAGTACCCGTAGCCATATCCGCTCATTCAACGAATTTCTCACACACACACACACACACTAACAAAGGGGCCGAAGAAGCTGTGTGTGTTTTTTCTCTCTCTCTCTAGAGAAATTTTAATGGTGGGTGGGCGGAGAATTGTTGAAATTGAAGAAGGCAAAATTAAATATAAAGGGGGTGAGAAAGCAGAGAAGGGTTTGTTTGCTGTGTGCCTCTGCTTTTTTTTTTTTTTTTTTTTTTTGATTTTCTTTTTGTTGTAATTTTTGGTGTTATTATGGGAGAATCGCCGGGGAGGGGGAACCTGCGTGAATTATATACGGAGGTGGAGGGGTATTTCTGTCCTTTCACCTATGACGCCATTCTTAACGTTTGAGTTTGGTGTGCTAAAGTGCGCCGTCTACTGGCCAAGATTTCGCAAAACACGTCTTTTGTTTTTTTAATAAATAGCTAAACACGACTTTCACTTAATAGTAATAGGGTAAATCGCCCCCCTCTAAATCTCTAACTCTGGTCTAATTAGTAGAATAAAAGAACACAATATTATTTTAATATTTTTTAGATCGAGTTTTGTACATATAATTAGTTTATGGTGATTTACATTTCTCCTGTAATTTACTTTTTCGATTTGAAAATTTACACATGTATCCGTCAAGTTTAATTGTACTTAAGAGTTAACCTTATCAGGCTATTAAATTTTTGAATTTATTTTTATTTTTACCGATGATCAAATATTGTGTGCATCGTCCTCCCCTTAGGTTATGTTTAATTATATATAGACCCCTCATTAAAAGAAATTACTAAGACCTCCTTTAATGTTTAATTGTAACTAATTTAAATTCATAAAATATTATTTTTTTTTCTTTTTTTTAAAACAAAAAATATAGAAAACTCTAAATTTATTGTAAGATAAAAATGGTAAAACAAATTAAATTGGGATAATTGAGACATGAATGATTAAAGATAAAATAATTATTAAGATGGAAGATCGTTAATGAGATTTGGCAAAAACTATTATGGGTAAATTACACCCACACCCCTGAGGTATGCTTAAATAACTGTAAAGTCCCTGTGGTATCGATAATTACACTCACCCCCCTGAAAGGTAGTTTAAAACTTTAACGGGATAATGCATTGGATACATTATTCCGATAGGGTTCTAATGGACTATTACTTTTAGCTAGTTATGGAGATAACATAGAGTTATGGGGAGTTATGGGGTGACATGGCTCCGGCAATATTTTTTAAATCACCCATAACTCTTTGTTGTCTTCACCACTTCCTGAAACCAATAGTCCATTAGAACCCTATCGGAATAATATATCAAATGCATTATCCCGTTAGAGTTTTTAACTACCTTTCAGGGGGTGAGTGTAATTATTGATACCACAGGGACCTTACAGTTATTTAACCGTACCTCAGGGGTGTGGGTGTAATTTACCCAACTATTATTGAAAACACATCCCTTTAAAAATTGAATTTAATAAATTTAAAACAATTCCGACCCAGTTTAAGCCCATTTGTGTTTAATAAATAGTTTTCCTTTAAAAAAAATATTAAATTAAATTAAAATGGGTAATAGCAAAAAAAATTACTAGAGCCAATTTATAAGCTTGGAGCATTCCTTAACCAATCAGGTTGACGATTGACTAATTCAAAATTTGAATTCGCCATCTATGAATTTATATTTCTTTTTCCCTGTATAATTAGTTAGCTACGTTGATAAGTATTATTGAATTTATTTTTTATTTTCTTAACAATTTGGCGCCTTAGGGTTTGTATTATTCATAGGTTATAGTGGATATACATATATTTATGGCAAAATCTCACTAATACTCTCATCTTAATATTTAGTCCCTCATGTTCTTATTATCTCATTACCATCCTTTAACTTTACGAATATTCCAATATAGTCCTCCGGCATATATTTTTGTTAACTTTAAAAGAATCTCTTATTTATTTTATGGAATATTTTATTCTGATGATTATTTGTAATAAACTATAAACAAATTAGTAAATACCATAAAAAAAACCATACACAATTCAATTAGTTCTTTAAATATTAACACAAAATCATAAAGCACATACAAATAATTTTTTTAAATTGAATTAGTTCGAAATTTATTCGATTGCTTAAACTACTTTTTCTGCAAGTCTTTGATAATTCGAAAGCTTGATTAGATTAATTAAGCTGTGTACATTAAATTAACTTAATTAGGCTAATTAAGTAGTGGACGCATAAATCTATACAGATTAGTTTCTCATCTGATGATTCCATAAGAGGAGATTTCTTCATTGAATAGTACAAGTATCATTGTTTACGTGTCAACTGCTAATTAAATAATTAGTTAATTAAACACTTAAATATATTAATTAAATAAATAAAAAGAATGTCTGAAGAAAAAGAAACCACAACTGCAATAGATGAACCCTGTGGTGGTTAACTTGGGAACAGGACAAAGAAAGAGATTATGGGATTCACCAAACTCGGCATTCCCATGTCTTTCTCTCTCCACAACCTAACCACTACGTATTTATTAGCGCAAATTACGGTCACCCCTGAGTTATGATCAAATTATGAAAAACTCCCTCTTGTTTGAGTAATTACAGTCATCCCTCTCAACTATATATTATTTTACGAAAATACCCCTCAAGAGATAAATTTATGGATGTTAAATAGGTAAAAAACCAAACTGAAATTTAGGTGCGCCAACATTTCATACCGTTTACCGAACTGCATATACGATTTGGTTCATTAAATAATCGAATTACATAACTTTTATGTAAAAATATTTAAAAGGAGGGAGGTGATTGTAATTACCCAAACAAGAGGGATTTGTTTTCGTAATTTGTCTATATCTCAGGGATGACCGTAATTTGCCATTTTTATTATTTTTTTTCTTTCTTTTTTTAAAACCTTTATTTAGGCGATGATCTAATTTTATAAATTTGAAGAACAAGGGTTATTAATTCATCATAATCAATATTATCTTCGACTTAATTGAATCAATTTTCTCTACTAGTAATGCCAAAATCTTGGTCGTGTATAGTTACTAGTTAGAATAAGAAATTGGAATGAAAAAAAAAAAACTTGTTTTGAAGTCGGATATTTTCAAACTAGAATCCGGTTAATTCATAAATTCCATGTTTCTAGAAATAATATAAACTTTTTGAAATATTTTTTAAAATAAAATCGGATTAGAATCGGAACCCGATGTGTATTCAAATTCTGTTATAAAAAATGGGTAAATTACAACCACCCTTGAGGTATGGTTAATTTACGAAAAAAATCCCTCTTGTTTGGATAATTACGTCTACCTCCTCAACTATGATTTTTTCTTACACCTCTATTCTTATGGTGTCAAATTTAACATATTCATCTAGATTTCGTGGAGTGTGCTCTAGTTTGTACTCGTTTTGTGTAATAATGCAGTTTCTAATGCACCACAATGTGATATATGCAAGTCAAAAAACACATCTTATGAACATCTTGCTTCAAAATGTAGAATTCGAATAGGATAAAACGAGTACAAAAGTGATAATATTTCATATAATCTCGAAGATTTCACTAAATTTGAAACCGCAAACGGTGGACGTGTAAGAAGATTTATAGTTGATGGGTGGCTGTAATTAACCAAACAGGAGGGTAGTTTGCGTAATCTGACCATACCTTAAGGGTGGTTGAAATTTACCCTAAAAAAATTGCAAAAATAAGAAATCGCGACTTTCAAAATGAACATTTTTTGCTCCATAATCGGGAAATTTCATATCGGAAATGGCGTGATTTGTAAATTTCGTTCCGATTTCCACTTCTAGTAACATGTACTAACCCGGAGATTGTACACCATTGTTAAGGAATCTAATTTCCTCTTCAATTTTAATTTAAAAAAAAAAGAATAGTTCAAATCTGAGATTTGAAAACATAGGGGAAAAAGCTGTGGTGTTAACGGCTACTAAAATTGGTGGATGCCCCATAGAATATGTCCAAAATGCACACCGACCCTTAAAACTTTTTTACAGCCTAGCAAGCTCCCTTCCGCTCCACATATTCCCCTTTTCAGCACTAATAAAATGCGAACCAAAAACCTTAAATTCGAGCAGAGTTTGCCTCGATTACAACAATGGCCAAGAAAAGGTCAGCAGCCCTTGTGCAGAAACTTTCCGTTCTGCTCAAAATCTACATTTTCTTGGCCAGACTAAAGAAACCCATGATCCGAAACCTCGTATCTCTCAAGAAAACTAGGAAGCTGAAAAGGCTGAATCTTTTCGATCAGTACGGTGGTTATGTTAGGGAGTACGAGTTTTCTCCTTCGAGCACTCCGCTGATTCATGGGTTTCGGACAAGGTGGGCGGCGAAGAGTGGGAGGAGGATCGGGTTTAAGACAATGTACGCAAGGTGTTTGGGAAAATGTCTCAGAGAAGGAGAAGATGATATTTACTGCCTGGATGAGATTTTACCTGAATCGGCGGCCGTTGATTTGTGCGGCGACGATGAGGACTGTGTGGATGAGAGGGCTGAGATATTTATTCAGAGGTTTTATGAAGAGATGAGAAGGCAGAGGCTCGATTCTGGTTCGAAGATCAATGGCTTATTGCTTGAAATTTGAATTTTGATTTTTGTTTTGATTTGATTTGTTTAAATTTCTTCATTATTTGGTTGTTTACATTTTTACCCCTTATTTTTTTTGGGTGGGAAAGCTGAGTTAATTTTAGTTACTAGTTACTACTGTGTTTTCAAGAACGTGTACTGGAATTTTTCTTTTGTCTTTACTGTCAAAACAAGGGGTGAAAGCAATGTTGAATTAGTTTAATTTATTTTAATTTCTTGATTTTGTAAATAAATTACAAGATTGAATAATTGAGCTTTGTGTTTTAATTTTTTACAAACTGAACATTCAAATATTGATATAAAGAGGCAGCACCAAAATCACATGATCTTGATTGGAATTTCAATCTACAATTCCAAATTTCTTATTTCGATGATTTTGAATATAATATTATGATTATACGTGTAAATTAGACCGCCAATCATATATTGAATTATAAAAAAAAATCATATATATTGCATCAAAATGAGATCCATGGGTATAAAGGTGTGAATCATTTGATTATTGGATTTTTGGGTGCAAATTCTGCCTAATTCCGACCTAAGTACAACCTTAATGCCATATTCAGTTTATGATAATGTTTTTCATATTTGATTTACGATTGACTTACCAAATAAATTTAATGAAATTAAAAAATAGAACTTGTTATCTCAAGCCCATTTCGTACATGGGCTCGGCCTAGAAATTAAAAATGATTATTGGAAGTACTAGTAATGCCTATATACTTTTCTTTATACACGAGATCCAATAATTGAGTTTATAAATGTCAATGTATTATAAGTTATAACAAATTAAGTTAGTGGATATATTATATAAAAGGTTGAAATACTTTAGAATAAATTAAAATTAAAATTAAAATTTAACATATAAATTTTTCTATACATTTTGCCTAGATTCTAAAAAATTTCCTCATTGATTTCTCAAAGTTATAAATCCTATTTGATTTGGGGTCTAGAGATCATTAAATGGTTAAAGCTTAAAACCTAAAACCATAATAAAAGTAGAATGTAATAAATCTAGTAAAAAGTGCCAAATATAAACGGAAGATGTATTTAATGTGTGATATGTATGGGTATCCACAGATTTCCATTCGAAAATTTTCAATTTTAGAATATTGATTTTCATTCTGAATTTCGAGATTTCGTTTTGTGATTTCTTTGACATTTTTAGTCCGAAATACATTTGAGATCACAGTTTCTGATTCAATTTTAATTTTGACATTTACAATACAATAATACTAATGTTATTTGTTTTATACTATAGATGAATAAAAATTAGAATTTCAGATTATCGTCGATTCAGACCAAAAAATTCCAAATTTTGAAACAAGTTTTTCATTCCAATTTTAAAAAATAATTAGAATTTTAAAAGTACTACGTAAAATAATCTTAATTTGATCTCAATTGTTTTATAATAAATAGGGTAAAGTACAACCACTCCTGATGTATGATTAAATTACGAAACCCCCTCTTATTTGGATAATTACATCTATCCTCAACTATGAATTTTCTTACACTTCCACCCTTATGGTGTCAAATTCAACATAATCATCTAGATTCCGTGGAATGTTCTCTAGTTTGTACCCGTTTTGTGAAAAAATACAGTTTCTGATGCACCACAATCTGATATATACAAGTCAAAAAACACTTCTTATCATCATCTTGCTTCAAAATGTGCAGTTGGGATAAAACGAGTACAAATTGAGAATGTTCCATATAATCTAGAAGATTCCTCTAAATTTGAAACATCAATGGTGGACGTGTAAGAAGATTTATAGTTGAGGAGTGGTTGTAATTGCCCAAATAAGGATTTTTTTTTGTAATTTGATCATACCTCAGAGGTGATTATAATTATCCAAATAAGATGGATTTTTTTGTAATTTAATCATACTTCAGGAGTGGTTGCAATTCTGAGTGGTAATATAGTAATTAATACATTCTTATTTTGGTAAAAAATATTAAATGGAGATGTCAAATATATGGAATCGGATTCCATCAATTTCCAATCAACTGTAACAAAGATTTTCTTGTCAAAACTGTAAAAACTCTCTCTCTCTCTCTCTTGTTTATTCTCATACCAAAACGAAGGCAAAACCTTGAACAAAAATATTAAAAAAAAAATTTAAAAAAAAAAAAATTTGAGGTAGAAATGGCGAAGAGAAGCACCGAGTTTCAAGTGTACAATAGCATGACGAAGCAGAAAGAGATATTTAAGCCGAGAGCGGAGGGCAAAGTCGGAATGTACATCTGCGGCGTTACATCCTACGACTATAGCCACATCGGCCACGCGCGTGCCTACGTGGCCTTCGACGTTCTCTACAGGTTTCAAATCTTAGTTCTTGTACTCTGATTTTGTGCGTTTGATAATCCTCTGCAAATTGAGTTCTGCTTTAGCTGAATTTTTATTAGGGCAACTTTTTAATTTGGGATTTTTCGAAATTAGGGCTTCAAGTTGGTATCCTGGCTGGTTGACTTAATCACTACACTATTTTACATATACAGTCTCAGATTGAAATTCTTAGTATGCATATTGCATACAATCTATGTAATGATTTCTTCTAATTATTTATTGCTATTGGGTATTGTTGATTTTCCATCATCTATTTACAGATTCTGTCGGAAATTTAATTTGTTGGAATTTGATGCTGCAGATATCTGAAACATTTGGGGTACGAGGTTGTTTATGTCCGCAATTTCACTGATGTCGACGACAAGGTGAGATGTCATAGATGCAATTATGTCACGGTACTGTGAAATCTGCAGAAAATAAAATCTGAATTTATGATATATGTGGAAATTAAGACGACGAATTGCTTGAAAAGAGAACAAGGATCTTGCTTATATTGATGTTATGATGACAACTTAGTAGAAGATCAACGAAATGTCGATAGATCATATATTTTGGTTCAAGTATGTAAAGGTGGAAAATGTGAATTTAGTCCTAAGTAATGCTAAAACACGAGGCATTTTCTTGTTGAGCTACATTGTTTATTGGGATGGATTTTGCAGATTATTCGAAGAGCAAATGAGCTTGGGGAGGATCCAAAGGCATTGAGTGGTAGATTTTGCCAAGAGTTTCTAAAAGATATGGCCGATCTACAATGCCTTCTTCCCACTCATCAGCCACGTGTCACTGATCATATGGATGAAATCAAGAACATGATTGCTCAGGTCCGTTGCATGCACTATTATTTCTTTTCACACCATGATTGCGATTCGTTTCTATATTGTTTTATGTTGTCTGCACACTTATGTTTGGTAAACCTAAGTATTGGTTTATGTTGTCTACACACTTATGTTGACTAATTCCAGTTCTGTCCCAAAAAAAAAATGAAATTGGAATGAAAAAACTTGTTCTAAAATCGGTGGAATTTGGAATTTTCAATTTTTAAGTCACTTAAAATACCAAATACGTAATAATATTGATACTGTAAGTTTATTTTTTTGAAAAAAAATGATGCTTTCGGAAATTAAATCGGAATCTAATACATATTCCAGTTCTGTTCCAAATAAAACCGGAAACGTGGGAAATTGGAACTTTCGGAATTGAGAATGAAAAAGGGATTGTTCCAAATTGGATCAAAATCGGCGAAATTTGGAAATTCGGCTCCAATTTCCGCTTTCCTTTCTAAATCAGGTTTCTGTCAATTTGGATCTTGTTTTCTGCAGATTATCAAGAATGGATGTGCTTATGCTGTCGATGGTGATGTCTACTTTTCCGTTGATAATTCCCCAAATTACGGTATTCTATCGGGACGAAAATTAGAAGACAATAGAGCTGGCGAACGAGTTGTTGTCGATGAGAGGAAGCGAAATCCAGCAGATTTTGCTCTGTGGAAGGTCAAATTTAAACTTTAATTCATTACAATTTACAATGTTTTATTTTATTATTATTTTTAAAATGCAGGCTGCAAAGCCAGGGGAGCCACTGTGGGACAGCCCGTGGGGCCCGGGGAGGCCAGGGTGGCACATAGAGTGCAGTGCTATGAGCGCTCACTACCTCACACATGCATTTGATATTCATGGTGGTGGAATGGATTTAATCTTCCCCCACCACGAAAACGAGATTGCTCAGAGCTGTGCCGCTTGCTCCGACAGCAAAATTAATTACTGGATGCATAACGGTTTCATTACTTTGAACGACGAAAAGATGTCTAAATCCGAGAAAAACTTCTTCACTATCCGTGAGGTAGGGGGAAAAAAAAACTCCTGGTGTTATAAATATTAGCAAAAAAAACCCCTAAATGGTGCGTTTTTTGGGGTAGTTTGCTAATATAATTAAAATCATAGGGGGGATTTTGTTAATATTTATTACAAGGGAAGTTTTTTTAAGACAACTAGAGTAAAAACAGGGGTGCGAAATGCAATTTCATCAAGAAAACACGCCTAATTTTTGCCTTGTATTCAATACTGAAGAAACTATTACTGTTTTTATCTTGATATCCTTTTTTTTTTTTTTTAATTATACAGGTTACAGAATTATACCATCCACTAGCACTGAGGCATTTCCTTTTGGGAACGCACTACCGCTCCCCCGTTAATTATTCAATATCACAGATCGAAATTGCATCTGAAGCGGTCTTCTATGTATATCAGGTGAAAAAATCTCACTTTGTATACAAAAGCAAATATTATTGTTTATGAACAACTTTTTTATTCCTTTAATTTTTTGTTTATCACTTGCAGACTTTGCAAGATTGTGATGATGCTTTATTAGCAGTAAAAGAAGAAATTGAAGTAAACGGAAAAAAAGTACGATTAACTCCTGCTGGCCAAGAATGCCTCACTAAACTGCACGAAGATTTCGAGTCAAAACTGGCAGACGATTTACACACACCCACTATACTGAATTCTTCTCTCCAAGAAGCTTTCAGATTTATGAATACATCCATAAGCATGCTCAAGGCACGTATTTCTCGTACAATTACTATCTTTTCATTTTTCTTTTAAATAAATTTCCCCTATATTGAGATATTTGTTTCATTATGCATATATTTCCAGAAGAAGCAGCAGAAGCAACAGCAATTATCGATAGCTAAGTCCCTCATTGATCTACAAATAAAAGTCAAACAAGTCTTGGATGTTCTTGGTTTGCTCTCGAGTTCAAGTTATACTGAGGTGTGTGCATATTTTTCAGTTAATCGGATTTAGCTAAAAAAGTCCTCGTGTTATAAATATAAGCAAAACAACCCATATGATGCATTGTTTTTCCACACAACCCCACTAAACGGTGGTTATTTGCTAATATTTATAACACGAGGAGTTTTTTGTACAATTAGAGTAAACACAGGGGTGCTAAATGCAATAAACTCTATATATTGGATTTGTTTATTACAACACTCTGCATCACAGGTTTTGCAACAGCTGAAGAACAAAGCTTTGAAAAGGGGAGGATTAACCGAAGAAGATGTTTTGCAATCGATCGAAGAAAGAATGTTAGCTAGGAAAAACAAAGAGTTTTCGAAGAGTGACGAGATAAGGAGTGATCTTGCTGCTAAGGGAATAGCTTTAATGGATGTGGGAAAAGAAACGGTGTGGAGGCCTTGTGTGCCTGTGCAACAAGAACAGCAAATCGAGCGGGTCCCACAAAACAAACTTCCTCTGCATGAAGAATCGGTTGCGCTAGTTGATAAGTAGCAGAATGCAGCCAAACGTGTTTACTAGGTAAGTTATAGCGATACTTCTAACTTATAAGTTTCTTTTTCATTTGATGTTTTTTTTTTTTTAACTTTTGGGGTTGACCCTAAAATTCCGGACATGCCCGAATGTTTTTGGAAGAATGAGGTTTGTTTATTGGAAAACTGTGTATTGAAACTCCTAATTGGAATCCAGTTATGGAATCGAAAACTAGTAGAATTACATGATCTTGTTTCGGCTAATCATATAATGAACACGTAACGAAAATAATTATCAAGGTGTAATATTAATATATATCTGTAACAATTCTTTATATATGTGTGTGTGTGTGTGTGTGTGTGTGTGTGTGTGTGTGTGTGTGTGTGTGTGTGTGTGTGTGTGTGTGTGAAAAAGGTAATTGGGTAGAAGAAACTTTATTTATTTGTTGAGTGCACAAGTTTTTCAAATCTGTGCAAATCTTTCTTTTCCCTTTTTCCCACCAAAAATGGAATCATTGTCATCAACAACTTCAGTAAGACCAAAAATCAGGAGGTTTCTCTAATAATTATATTTTGATATATCATGTCTTTATTTTATTTTATTTTAATTAAAATTTTCAATATTTTTTTGTACTTATTTTATCACGATCACTTTCGTAGAAGTGAAAGAGTCGTGCAAAACGCGACGTGGAAAGTTGCTATTATTAAAAGATATTGTATTTCACCCTTTTTGACAATCTTCACCTTTTTTTAATTTTTATTTTATTTTTATTTTAAAAAATAAAATTGTGGGAGCTGCAAATTTAGGTGCTTGTATATTTTGGAATCCATTATGGTGTTTTCGTGCTTACAACTAAGCTTCTTTATCCACACATACCATTGGTTGCTCACTCTTTTGCCCATATACATACATATACATACAACTTTAACTTGTATTGTATCCAATCGAGTTTCTTTCCCAATTTTTTTCTTCTTCTTATAAGTGTTCTTTTACGACCTCAAACGCTACCGATCATCTTGTAGTGGATTGACGTAAAAATGTGCATACTCTAAATTTATATTGTATTCAACACACATATAAATGTTCATAACAACAAGTAATTTCGATCCACTCTCGAATCTCCACCACATGGCAATTTATGACTAAACTCAATCGATATCAATAAAAAATCTTAATGTTGATAATTATTTATCGCTTCGAATTTACATTATGTGCGCTGGTGGAGCTACTTTTTATCCGGCCAAGGCGAACTCAAATCCACTGTCGCTCATTTTTTTCTAAAGAAATTATATTTATAATTATTTATTTAATGTATCAAAACCACCGAATTCATATCATCTAGTACATGTAACATTTAATTTATCAGCCATAATTCAGAAAAATCAAATTAATTTAGTTTATAATCTTGTTTGTTCTTTAAGAGTCTTTTCTTCCATCCATATGCTGTGCGATTCAAGTTTGGACAGCAAGCCAATTAAGAATTGTGTGTCGGTCTGTCTTGATTAGGACAAACAAATTGAATATAATTATTTATTAGTGTATAATTACTTTTTTTAAATATTCTTAAAGATATAACTATAAGAACTAGTCTTAGGTGATTGGACCCACGTTAATTATGTAATAATACACTTGTTTGAAACTTGAGGATTTTTAGTTGCAAACCCAAACTAAAAATGGGTCGTTTAAGAATATTCTTGAAATCTATAGAAGTTTGACTTTGACATTAGTATCTGCATCTTCTATT